GCGCCCGTCAAGCATCTGAATATTCCGCAGCTCATCTTCCGGCTTTTTGAATTTCCCATCTGCGTCTTTTGGCGCTTTACTTTTTCGATTTCCCGCAATCCATTTTGAATTTGCCATCCAATTCGAAATTTTCGCGAACGAAAATTTATTCAATTCAGAATTTCTTCGTGGAAACCTTCCTGTAAAACCGATTTGTTTTAACATTCACTTTCGCTTCTTTGGGGTCAATTTCGACGGCGTATTCTTTTGTTCTGCCGTCATCGTGATCTGTAGTTCGCCAGGTAGTACTGTGTCGCTCAGCAATAATCCTAAAACATGAATTTTAGGGTTTCATTTTCGGCTAGAAAAATCCGAGAAGCCGCTTCGAGAAACAAATAAAGGAGCCGCGCTTCGCGCGGCATTTTTTTTTATCATTTTTGGCTCGAAACCCGAAGCGGCTTCTCGGATTTTTCTATCGACAATTTTGTGAACATGTATATTTTGGCTAAGTTTGACCCGAAACAACGCTGGTTTATTTATTCCACATGCGTAATACAGTATTACTAATACTGTAAAAAAGGGTATAATACTGTACCAGTTATACTCGCAAATCATCGAGTCGCAAGCATTGTCGCAATACTCATCGTAATTACAAACAACGTGTCTTGCAAACGAGTTTCATAGTTTTTCAATAATCCAATTTGTTAGGGCAATTTTCGAGTCAAAAAACGTATACATAAATAACGTAGAGCTTGCGAAGTCCGCAAAAACGGCTATTAACAACAAGAGCCTTTTTGTCTGGCCGTCAAAAGTCGCGTAAAGCATAAGTCTATAATAACGAGCATTTGAAGACGCAAATCCTTAGAAAAAGTGAATAAAGGTGAAAATTTAAACGTTTTGAGGTGAAAACCCGTTTCTTTTTGGATTTGGTCCTGAAAACTGGGCTCGGCAACCTGTGTAAATATCCTGAGTCAGGTTCTTGAAAGTTTAAATCAAAAGCCGCGCAGCGGCTTATTTAAAGACGAAGCCACGAGGCGGCTTTGCTAGAATTTAATCAAAGATTAAAATGATTTTCTTCCGAAGCCTACGCGGCTTTCGATTTTAGCTCTTTGGAATCTGACTCAGATTTTCTTCACAGGTTTCCGAGCCCAGCCTGAAAAGCCTGTCGCAAGAAACGCCAAAAACGGCCAAATTCTCATTATTCTCTGAAGAGGTAACTGAGGAATACGAAAAAGTTCGCAGCTCAAAAGTTTCTGGATTAGATCTGTTTAGATAGAACGTCCTCGACAGGAATCCAAAAAACTCGCAATCGATCTTAATCCGATCCCGCAGATTTTTAATGCTAATAAAACTTACTGTAACTTTACCGACTTTCTCATGCGATCTTCCAATCATCGATTTTCGAGAAAAAAGAACGGCCATTTGCTCCAAATGAACATCTTACCATCACGAATTTGAAAAATTGAAAGCTCGAAATGCCTCAATTTCTAACTGACCATGAAATATTTGCTTATTAGATGCCAGTTTGTTTCTATTGAAACTACTTTTGGTAAAGAAAAATTAACGAAATTCATGAAGAATTTATTTTCCAGCGCGAAAATGTCGAAAATTTCGATGATTTCGAAGATTTAAAGATTAGCGGAAGCTTCCATAAGCCGTAAATTCGAAGCCAATACAAACATTTCAGGGATTCTTCTTCTAGCTTGCTGAATACGCGCTTTGCACGGTTACTATAATCTTTAGGCAATACGCATGAGCCTGATGACTTCAAAGGAAAAACAACAATTCCTGCATTCCTGAACGATTGATCCTCAAATCGAGACGAGCGTAAAATCGTAAACAAAACTGGCCATGCATTCCAGTGGGGAATGATATTTCCGGGCGTAGGGATGCTTCGATCTGACATGAGCTTTTGGTCACTCTTTTTCTAGCTTTCTAAAATGCACAATCATCAAATCAGCCATCATCCTTTTGGTTGACCAATGCAGGTACCGTATACCTACGTAGAGCAGAGTAATTGATTCAATTTATTTGTCACTGTCGATAATTAATAACTGATTTTTGTTTGTATGACAACATCAAAAATATAATTTAATCAAAATTGTCAGTAAAACGGCAAAACAATACGATATTTAACAAAACTGGCCACGTTTTTCAGTGGGTAATGATATTTCTGGACGTAGGGATGCTTAAATCTGACAATAGCTTTTGGTCACTGTTTTTCTTGCTTTTATTATTACTATTTTCTATGATGCACCAGCCGGAATAACTACGTAGATTTTGATGAATTCAATAATTTTTCACTGACTTTTGTTGACAATAAATCGAATATTTTTATTTGTATGAGTCTTTGATTGAAATCTTGAAATTTATATCGAGAACATGACACAAGAATGAAATTTCAAATGCAAAAGTTGGAAGTTGTTTCATATAAGACAGGATAAATATTACCAGGATGCGACGAAATTATTTCTGTGTTAATCAGCTGGCCCTCTTTCACATAGATTCTTTCCACTGGATATATTATATTGATACCATCGAGGCTTGTCGGAGTATTCCCAGAAGCAACGTAAACATAAGGTCCAATTTTTATTGATGAGCCAACAAAATTAAACTGAAAAATGCAAAAAAATATTTTTGAAGATTCATTCGGGTTAAACTTACAGCCTTTAATAACCCAAGAAGTGACCACTCTCCTTTTTTGAGCAACCAAAGTTCTTTTGTCTCATATTCAGTATCCCAGTTGTTTCCTCCTGCAAATAATAACGAACCGTTATCAAGACCAGTAAGAGTGTGACCGTAGATAGTTCTACATAAGTGTATGATTTAAAATACAAAATATAAATATAAATGATCATGAATCATTTAAAATAATATATAACCTTGGGTGATCCTGGATTATGGATTTCCAGCCATCTGGGGTGTACGTTTCTACTTTACGATGACTATCTTGCTTTCTACCGCCAACGGTTATTGGTTCACCTTCGTATAATCCAAGCCTTCCCATTTCATGAGTATAACGAGATGATCTCGTCAATTTTACAGTTGTCCCGTCGAAAATTTCACATCCTCTATCTACTGGTGTGCCTGGTAGAGCATAATCCTCAATAGGAAAGCAAATCAAAGCTTAAATTTCTCTATATAAATGATTATTAAATATAATGAAACCTTTTGCACCATTCTCAATTGATAGAGAGCCGCCAGAAAATCCATGTTTAAAATTTAATTGTACAGAAAGCAGAGAAAAATCACAACCAACAAGCTTTCCAATCTTAAAAATTTAAAAAAAAAACAATCATAAATTATCATAAATAAACCTTTCGAGAATCAAAAACATAAAGAGAATCCCTTATGACTGCAAAAAGGTTGCCTGAGGCAGCAAAATTATCAGGAGCAGTTATCGTTGGCCTTGTAATTGTTGAACCGTCGCCAGAGGTAATGTATGAGTGAATGGATGATGTACTTATTTGATACAATAAGACCAATAAGTGATCATCAGCCTATTCAGTAAGTAACATTAGATTTTTATTTTTTTTATACTGGACTCGGTTCTGTGCCATCGTTACAAATTGGATGTCCACATCCAGCGCAGCCAGCGGGGCACTCAATACCACAGGGACAAAAAGAGGTGCAATCTTATAATAATTATTGAGAGTATTGAGACTGATTATAAGATTATTATTTTCTTTAATAATCATTATGCATATAATTATGAAAAATAAATATTTAAAATTATCTAAAATTTATTTCTTATCACCTGAAAATATTTTCAAGCATTCATTTTGACATAAAGACGAGTCACAATCCGATAAGCATTGTAAATAATCAAGTCGACAATAGCCCGAGCACTCGTCATATAAATCCTCATCACTTTAAATGAACGAAACGTTAGGTTTTCGATAAGTTTTTAGTTGACTTACACGCACGACTTTGTCATATTATTTGAATATGTCTTATTTTCACCGGGGACAGCATTAGTTATACTTTCATCTCGAAGAGATGCTCTTGCATTAGAAATATCAAGCAATGCCAGAAAAAGAAATAAATCTATAGATAAAATCATTCTCTACTCAGAATAAAATTTTTCGAAAACGTGTCTCAATAAATACATGTAACTCAAGGTCAAAAGGCGAATAAATGACATTTGAATATCTTTTTGCTTGATATTTGCTGAGCATAAGATGCTTTTGTCCTCGGTTGGGAAATATATCCTTTTTCGACTCTCAATCAAATAATTGCGTTTATTTGAAATTTTTTTCTTGCTTGCATCAATATTACTACGAAACTCAAAAATAAAAGCTTTGCAAAGCCTATTCATTGCTGTGAAACGGCAATTTTTCAAAAAAATAGTCTTGTAAAATGTTAGCAGTGGAGTTTATTTATGTACAGTATTTAGACACACGAGAAACAGATTACAGTTTCTGAGCTTCTGTTTTGAGCGCTTTCTTCAGTCCATTTTTTTATTATTCGGTTGAGGCCATTATCGGTTTTCTTCCAAGTCCGGGACTGCGCCATTTTTTTTGCTTCAGTTTTTGTGGTCTTTTTTTGGTCTTATTTTTTTATTGGAGCTTGCGATTTTTTTGGTTAAAAAATTCGCGCGAGCAATTTTGATGAAAGTATAAAACGCTTTTTTGTAAAATATAAAATTTCATTTTGTACAACATTATTTTGTGGAATTTCGTCTTGAATTCGCCAATTTTATCAACTGGCGAAATAAAAGTACCTGTAGCAAAGCTTGTAAATTCTAGCGCGAGAATTTGATTCTCGGCGAAATACTCGTTGATTTTTCTATTAAAAATCTTCCGAAAAAAAAAATTGATTCAAGATCGAAAATTCCAAAATAAAAATTTTTGGATTACTTAAAGTAAATTTCGAAAATCCTTGAAAAATTTTTAAGAAAAAAATTTTTTAACTAAATATTAAAGTTAAAAAATATATAAAAAATCAAATAGTATCTCGAAAAGAAAATGCGCTAAAAGTCAAGAGAGAATTTAAGAAATTTGCGGCTAAAGGGTTGAAAATTAGCGGCGTCGGCGCTTGTGGTGAGTTGGTTTCTCTTGGAGCGTCGCGAGAAGGGAGAAGTCCTCTGAAAGATCTGAAGGGGTTATGATGTTACCCTCTCTTTTCTCGTCGTAGGAGTCTTCCATTGAAACGACGGGGATCTCGTTGAGCCAGTCTGGGATTTCTGTTCCTTGGACGCACATGTCGTCGTGTGTGTTCATCCACCACCAACTTGCGACCTGAAAAATAAGGGTATCACAACGATAATAAAAAAAAGTACGGTCGGCAAACTTGGAAGAAAACCTGAGTCAGGGTCCCTGACACAGGGTTCTGAAAGTGCTAAGGGGCTTTTATCGAAGCTATTTCGGAACCCTGACTCAGGTTTTCTACACAGGTTCCCACACAGGCTCAGATAGAAAAACTCCTTACCGAGTCGATCATTCTCTTTGGAAATCCTTGCGACTTTCTGAGCGCGATTTCTTTGCAAGCTCCGCAGAGCATCCTTTCTGTCGAGCCCATCATTGGTTCGTCAAAGGTTGGGATTTCATTTCGCCAGGCGTGGTATTCCAAATAAGCGGTATCGTTGTTGTCCAAGTAGTCGAGGTATTCGACCAAATCGGAAGGAGTAGCGAAGTCTTCTGCATGGATGAAGGAGTGTTTAGGAGCCATTTCCTGTGATTGGTTAATTTTGACGAGTTAGGTTAAGTTTTGACCAACTTTTTGGTCTCATATTGAAGTTAAGGCTACGAGGAGTATTTTGAGTCAAAAATTTAAGGGTGTCACTATTGAAAAAAAGAAAGATACAGTTGTTCAAAGTTCGGTGGTTCTAAAAGGTTAATTTTGACCAATTAGGTTAAATTTTTGACCAATTTTTTGGTCTCATAATGAAGCGAAGGCTTTGAGGAGTATTTTGAGCCAAGAATTTAAGGGTGTCGCTATAGTAAAAAAAAAGATACAGTTGTTCAAAGTTCGGCGGTTCTAATATTTAATCTCGTAACTGAAACATATTTATGTAACGTGACATCTTCGCGTGAAATTTTAATTTCGATTGATTGAGTAAAATTTCCCGAAAAGAAGTTACGTGAAATTATTGATTCAAAAATTATGCTCGGTCCTTGTTTCACTTCTTTGCAGCCGAGAGAAGTGGGAACGTGCTTATTTTAATTAAAAGTAACATCATCCCTGATCCCCTCGCCCACCCAGATGGGATTTTTTTCTTGCGCATTACTGCATAAATATACTGTAATGAGGAACTTGAAAAGAAGTCGAGCAGAAAAAGATTCCTTGCAAAAAAGTATCGTCCAGAAAACACAATATAGAATCTTTTCCAGACTTGGATACTTGTGAAAAACCTGAGTCAGGGTTTGAAAATTTTTTTTTGAAAAGCCGCGTAGCGGCTTTTTTAGATAAGAAGCCGCGAAGCGGCTTCGCAAGAATTTTGAAATCGATTGGAAAATAAATTTTTCGAAGCCGCTTTGCTCCGCGGCTTATCATTGAACTTCTTTCAGACCCTGACTCAGGCGTTCTACACAGATTGCTGAGCCCAGATCTCTCTAATTTCGAATTCTAGCTCCTAAATAACCCTCTTTTAGCTCGTGAAATGCTCAACAAATAAGCAGCTATTATTGTTCAGAAGATGTTTTTTAACCACTGTCCTTGACATCATCAGGATGAGGGCCGTAAACGATGGGAACGGCGCCCTGGCCAAGCGAATTTCTCCAGAATTTTTCGGAGACGTAGTCGTTGCAGTGGTACGAGTTTTCGAAAGCCAAGTAGAACTTGTACTTTATACGCGTTGTTAAAAGGGGTCTAACAAGAGCACCACGATTCTTGAGGAGAGATAGAGCGGATCAGACGATGTTCTACAACGCGTTCCTTTGAAATAAGGCCAGGCTCGCCATGATCCCCATGCCAGGGGCTCTCGATGATGGTGTTGTTCCAGCACTCACCGTAGCCGTCCAGTTTTAAGCCGGCTTCGACCAATCGTTGTCCGTAGTCGAATCGCTGCGATGCTCCAGCTGTTGCTTCGCAGTTGGAAACCTTAAAATACAGTTAGAAATTGTTCAAAATGCCTTGACTTGAATCTTCTTTGGCTTTTGTTTTAAATTCGATAAGAACTCTCAACTGTTTATCTGTGGCTGATCCAAGTTTTCAAGTTTCAAAAAATATTTGAATTAAATTTTATCGCCCCGCTCCAAAAAAGCTCGCCACGTGAGCCCTTTTCGATTAGGATGAATTAAAAAAAAAAGCTAGAAAAAGATTAATTCCAGCTCATTGAATAGTTCTGATAAGAGAATTTTTCCGTGAGCACGGGGAAATTAACGCTTATCGCTTTTTTAAAAAAAGGGAAGCTTCAATATTTTTCGTGGGAAGATAAAAGAAAATGCATATCTTGAAATTTTGGTATGCAAAAATGGATGGTACGTGTGCTCTGAGCTAGAAAACCTGTGAAGAGAACCTGAATCAGGGTCTGGAAAAACGAAAATGAAAAGCCGGGTAGCGGCTTTTTAAAACGAAGCCGCAAAGCGGCTTCGCGAAATCGATATTCAAATCTATTCTCAAGAAGCTTTGCGGCTTCGTTTTTAAAAAGCCGCTGCGCTGCTTCTAATAAAAGATCTTTAGGACCCTGACTCAGGTTTCCATTTATTGCGAGGTACTTTGTGAAATTTGAAAATTTTAAATCCGGGATTTAGAAGCATCTATTTCCAGCGAAAACATGAAATTCAAAATATTACGTAGCTCTCCATAAACACTCCATTTTTGCATGTTTTCGTAAATGTTTTGCAAACTTGGAAAAGCTCGAAATTCTCGCGCTAGAACGTGATTCTGTGGCTTGGAGAACGGAATGTTCTCGCGAAAAAAACGGAGAGAGAGGAGGACCAATCTCTTTATTATAGAGATTAGCGGTTGCTTGGAAAATAGTTGCGATTTAGATCTCGTAAAGAGAAGAAGAGGAATGCCAAGAGAACCAGTTCAGGCGGGTTAAAATGGTCCCACAAGAATTTCAGTACCGAATACGCTGATTCTCCGCTCAAAATTGCGAAAACGGGAAAAGTTGAATTAAGGGGGTAGACAACGATAACTCGATCACCTCTTAAAATGTTAAAACTGACTTTTAAAAATAACTTTTATAAATAATTTATAAAAAATTTAAAAAGAATTAAAGAAATGTATTGATTATGAATAAGTTAATAATTATTAACAATAAAATAAAAAAATATTAGTAATTTTTTTTAAATGATTCTAGTGGCAATTCGGCTTCATTTAAAAAAAAAGCCGCTACGCGGCTTTTCACTTAATTTCTGGAACTGAAGATCTACTGTATTCTTGGAGAGAGACTAATTAAACGCTCTAATCAGGGCTAGTGGAAACAAATTTCGGCTTGATAAGATAGTGTAAGTTCTAAACAAGCTGAGCGGGGCGAAAAGAGGCCTGGTGAGAATTTTTTAACCTTTAGCTTGTCGATATGCCGCTTATCAAAGCGCTCTCATGATAGCTAGAGCTACTGATTTCAGGGAAGCGACTTATTAGATCACGTGAGTGCCGAATGCGAGTTTACGGATTAGAAGTTTCGCAAGTTATGATTTTGAAATTGAACGAGTCAAAAGAAGAGCTAGTTGAGCGCTTATGGTTTTTACGTGGCACGTTCTTTTCGAAATCGCGAAGAGAAAGTTACGTGTCAGTTTGGCGAGAAAATCCGGCGGATTTCGGCTGGAGTGTTCAACTCCTTGACAAGCTTAACCCACCGCCTTAGCTCGAACCCAAGCTCCGTAACCAACAAGAAAAATCTTAAGACTATTTCCTCGACTATCGATAACTATGACCCGTAAAAGCCGCCAAAAAATAGGATTTTGAAATTTCCAAATTTCGAGTGAACTTACAATCCAAGCAGCGTATTTTGTGTTGGCCGGGTTTTTGTATTTCATGATGTTTCGAATGTGCGCTTCGTCGTCTTCGATGAGAACTCCATTCTTGTATCGAGCATTTCGGATGGCGTCGTTCTTCGATCCAAATGGTCGGGGAATGTCGGAATCGCGCCTGTAGCTTGTGGTCATGTTGAATCCGGAGTCCCAGGCGCCTGTTTTTCAGTTTATGCAAAAGTCTCGTGAAAAGTAGCTTTTTCGAAAAGTCAAACTAATAAGGTCTATTTTGGTTGTTAGTCTTACCACGGCGAAGAGCATGGTTTTAAAGAGAAAATGGAAAAAAAAACACGAAGAGAAAATCTGTCGAATTTGAGAGTTTTTGGTTTTCGAAAAATCTTCGCTAATTTTCGTGAACCCACTAACCGCCGTCAAATTTGCGCCTCGCCAAATATTTACTCCTCCCACTTTTTGCGCGCGAAAAAGTGATGGTAGGACGATTCAAGTGCGCATACGTAACTAATGGGATCGGTAATGGAATGGATCGTAATTTGAAGGGTGAAATGTTCGATCCCGCGTTTTCGGCTTTTCATTTGCTTGGAGATTAGGAGTCGTCCAAACTGACAGAAATTAGATAAGCCAACAGCGGGGGACAGGCTCAGGAGTATCCCCTGATAAGAGGGAGCTCTTTCTGAGAACGATGATGGCTATTTACGGAAGTCGTAAGCTTACTCTTGTATTAAAATCTTGATATCAAGGAAGAAATTCAATAGTTGATGAGAAGAGAGACCCTTAGTTAGCCGGGTACAGAGCCAGCACTTCTATTCTCTTCGAATTCTTGAGCCGCAGCCTTTTTTCCCGATTCATTTGAGTGAGTTCCGGGGTGCGTTGAGTACTTTTCGTTTTCAATTTCAAGAGGGAGGAACACTGACTGCTCGCTCGAGCACCGAAAACAGCAGTTTTAGAGCGTGCCTTGTTCCGATCAACGATGTTTAAATAAGCATGGAAATTAGGAGAATGGACAAAGCGATTTGTATCGACCACAAAGTAGTCAAGTAGCGATAATTTAGATACAACTACAAGTCATTATAAGTAGATGACGATCCGATAAATGTGTTGTAAACAGGCTATTACATACCATATGAATAATTTTTAATTAATTATTACTAGGCCTCGGACGTAAAAATCCATCACCATCATCGGAGCTTTGTATAGGATTGAGAATAGGCTCATTCGAAAGCTCTTGAAGAGGGCTTTCTTATGCGCAAATAAAAAAATTGGACCCTGTCTACCAGTTTTGAGTAATCTACCGTTAAAGATAAAGTCGAAAAAAGTTTTTAGAAATAACTTGAAACAGGGAGACAGGGTCTAATTTATTTATTTGCGCATAAGAAAGTTCTCTTTAAGAGCTTTCGAATGAGCCTACTCTCGTCCTCATACGAAGCTCCGATGGTGAAAATCGAAATTTTTACGTCCGAGGCCTAATTATTACACTCCAATTGAGCGATCTAACAAATGATCTGAGTCGTAAAACTAGAGGCTAAGTGCTCTCAATCTATTTTTAGATGAAAGTTGACGAAATTTCTAAAGCTGTGTGTAACCTGTGTATAAAACATGAGTCAGGTTCTCAAATATCTCTAATGAAAAGCAGCTCTGCGGCTTTTTTACACGAAGCCGCAAAGCGGCTTCGCAAAATTACTTTTTCAATAAATATTTAAATTCTGGCGAAGCCGCTTCGCGGCTTCGTTTTTAAGAAAAAGCCGCTACGCGGCTTTTCATTGGAGATATTTGAGAATCTGACTTAGGTTTAATACACAGGTAACTAAAAAACAGCCACGTTTCTTGAAACTAAAGCAAAAAAAATTACCCCATTGCGGCAAGTTAAAAGCTTCTTAGCATGAAATTTGTCTGTAGCTGGTGGTGAATTCGAAATTCTTGGGCGGATAATGAGTGTTTTCGAAAGAATTCAGCTGAAACAGAAAATTGGTGGCTCTAAATGCTCCGCGAAACAACAACGCGTGAGATTGACGAGGAAAGAAAATCTGCACGTGCCCTTGAAAAAGGGGCCGGTAAATATGTGTTATGTTCTTGAGAAAAATGCGTATAATGTGGTGATTGAAAGGTTTTTATCAAAACTTTCTATTCTCCGATTTTGCTTAATTTTTAAAAGATGTCTTTTACGAGCTCCTTTTTTTGAGGAAAATAATAATAACAATAATCAGTTACTCACGTTCCACGAAAGAAAGGAGCCTTGCTTATCGCTTTCGGGAATTTTCGCTAATTTTCGAAAATGACGGAAGTAATTTTGAGCTACTTAGCCAAACTACTTCTCCCAATCTTCCTCATTTCCAGCCGCGTTATGGACGGCGACTTATGCGCAGCCACTCATGTCCTTTTCCAGGTTTCTGTATTCATGCTCTCGAGTTGCGAATATGAGAAAGAGAGAAAGAGCTACGGTAGAATATTCATTCCTAGTACAAGTGAGGCCGCATTTTAATAACGCCGACATTTCAGTTTTCAAAAAAGCCTCTTATTTTCGCTAGAATTCTGATTTTTACTGCAATAGAATTACTGCTCCAAATCGAGAAGCCGCTTGCGGCTTCGAGTAAAAGAAAACTTTAGCCGCGCGTAGCGCGCCTTTTGCGTCTAATTTTTCTCGAAGCCGCAAGCGGCTTCTCGATTTCTAGCAGTGATTGTAGTACTACTGTAGTAACGATCGAAATTTCCTCAAAATAAGATAAAAAGCCGCGCTTCGCGCGGTTTAGGTTTTCTATTTGACTCGAAGCCGCAAGCGGCTTCTCGATTTTTAGAAAGAAAGTTCGTTTTTAATTGCTCTTGATGGGTAGCCCATAATGGGTAAATCGAATATCTTTCTAAAGTTGAATATTGCAAAATGATGGTTTGTTTAACGTAAACTAATCTACTTTTCTTTCTTGATTTGATATTGCAACGCAATCGCGTTTTTGCAAAAAACATAAAAACGGGTCTCGGTTGTTACTGAAAATAGAAGCCCGCTCGAGATGACTAAAACACGTGTAGTTTTAATCCGCTTCTAAAGAGAGTCGAGCCCGGGCTGTTTGTGGATGCTTCCGTGGCCAGCGTTTCTAACTTTCTGAGGCAACAACATGGCTAGTACCTAACGGCGGCAACTTCAAAACATAGAATCGGGACGCGTAAATTATGGGATCAAGGCTGGCGTAATTGAAGATTTGGGTCAGATAGTTCATAACACATCGAAGGTGGATTAAAACGAAAAAATAACAAGTAAACATCATCAGTTATGAATCATCACCATCTCCATTGATGACTTTACATATCGTTGTTTACATCCTTAATACTATCTACTTACAATCATATCAAACGTATGACTGTAAAAATATGATCAAACAGAGTTGATGACAGTAGTAGGACACCCTTAATTCAACGATTTCTTTGAAAAAATACCAAAGTGACACCCTTATTCTTCAATTGAAAAAACTGCTGATGAAAGCGAAGAGAGAAGGAGATTCGATCAATCAAAAAAGAGTTCTGAAAATCCTACACGGTGTCCACTTGTGTTTTTGGTTGCCAGATCGTCACGTCCCCCTTATTCTGTGGTCACTCTCGCTACTCCAGTTCGCCTGCGCGAGTCGCGACGATCAGATGGCCTCTTAGCTCGAATTATTTGAATTACGGTACTTGAGCTTCAACTAGACTATTTTCTATCAAAAAATGCATAAACATTCCTTGCATAAGCCGTCCACCGGCATTGACACCCTTTGAAGCTGCCTCTCTCGCCCAGAAGATCCAGTACTGATCCTGATTTCTGTTCTCCAATTCTGGATGATCCTCTCCATGATGCTGGATGAATCTGGTGTTGTCGATGAGAATGCCTTCTGCTTCTTTTTCGTAACTACGGTCGTTGGTAACGTAACAGGTTGATTCCGGACACTCGTGTTTTGTGATGCGCTGACGAGTTGGGTTTCCACCCCACCTGAAATTAAAAGATTAGATTTTTTTGAATATCAATTTCGGAAACTTTCAATCATCGTTTTTCATCATCTTTTTTAAGAAAAAAGCACTGATGTAATTTTACTCTGTAGATAACAATCTCGCCCTATCATCTATTTCTTGACTCGGCAACCTGTGTAGAAACCTGAGTCAGGGCCTAAACCGGGAGGGGCTCGAAACAATTCTGCATGCAGAACTATTCTGCAAAAAATAGAACTATTCTGCAGAAAATGGAACTATTCTGCGTTTCGCAGAACTATTCTGCCGAATGCAGAACTATTCTGCAAAGGTAGAACTAATCTGCAAAATACAGAACTATTCTGCACAGATGCAGAACTATTCTGCGAAAAGCAGAACTATTCTATATATCCAGAACTATTCTGCATTTCGTGAATTAAGCACGCGACAGGCCTACGGCCCTTACGCGCGCATTTTCTGGTAGGAAACTCATTGGGTTGGCAGGGGCAGTCTTTCTCTACCGCTGGGACTCCAATATTTCGGTCAATTGAGTCTTTTTGGTGTTTTTTGTGCTAATATCCGTTTTGGAGATTTTGCATTTTGCAGAATAGTTCTGCATGCAGAATTGTTTCGATCGTTTCCCCCTAAACCAGCTTAAATGAAAAGCCGCGTAGCGGCTTTTTTGAAAACGAAGCCGCAAAGCGGCTTCGCCAGATTTTCAAATCGAGATTGATATAATTATATAACAGCTCTTTCAGAACCCTGACTCAGGTTTCGGAGCGCGGATCTACTCAGGCCGATATAGAGCAGCTGCGTTAATGATGGGTTGACCTCTACTTCTAAGCCCGGCTCCGTTTGTCAAACATTCAGTGGCTGATTAGTAATCACTTGCGCGCGCGGGCGATCACCCGCCGAGCGAGCGAGGCTCGCGATAAGGCGCCTATCTTGTCTAGGCTACACAATTTAGGAACTCCCCATCTTTAGAGGCTGCTGATGGTACCAACTGATTACGAAAAAATGAAATGTCCGCTCTTCACTTTTTTTAGCGAGCGCGAAAATTGATAAGAGCTAATAGATCCTTCCTAAACATTGAAAGATTAACGCGAATTTGGAAGGAGATGCTGATATCGAATTTGGCCTTAGAAATTTAAACGCTTACCAATCAAGAATTAGAACTTTGTCGTCGGCCTTGTCTTCTTCGAATGCCTTCTTTTGCTGGCGAAGGATTCTGTTGTTTTCAGCGGCCGAAAGTGTCGTGCGCTTTGATTTCTGCTTTTCTGCGTGGAAGACTCTCCATGGCTTTGCCGATTTTGCCTGAAAGATAGAATTAACGATCTTGATTTTATTGAACAAATAATGACTAGTTCACAATTTAAGCGCTTTCCAATAAGAAGAAAAAGAAAGATTCTAATCGATTTGATCTAAATCGAACATGCCACAAAACACATGCTTCATAAATCCGAAAAAAATCCGCAAAAATTTTCCGCGAAAACTTCATTTTCGCGTTTTATATCCGGGTAAATAGGACATTGTTGCTATTTTCGTGAATTTCCCTCTACGTCGCCGAATAAGAAAACTGTCACCCTCGTGAATTTTTAGAATGACTTAGCAAAAGAAAGAAGATCGATGTTTCAAGCTTCTTTCCTTCACTTTACAGTATACTGGGATAAGCAACCTGTGTAGAAAACCTAAGTCAGGGTCTGAAAAATCCTAAATGAAAAGCCGCGTAGCGGCTTTTTTAAAAACGAAGCCGCATAGCGGCTTCGCTAGTTGAAAAAACATCTTCAAAACCTGACTCAGGTTTTTACACAGGGTGCTGAGCCCGAACCTTCTAAGTAAAGCTAATCGAAAGTGGCTGTTTTTACTAATTTTTTCGATTATTGCTTCCCGCTCATTTTTCCAGCTAATCTCGAGAGAAGCGGCTTGAAAGATAAATGAAAAATTGAAAAGTTGAAAATTATCAAAAACAACGAGTTTTTTTAAGCACGGCGGAATAATCAGGACACTCGAAATTCTTAGCTCTAAAAATTTGAAAATCGAGGGCCCTCTCGGTTTGATTTAACATTTTTCTTTTAGAACTTTTTTTTTACGAAAAATACGAAAAATCATCAAAAAAAATTGTTCGAAAAATGCTTCGTTTTTTATAAAAAATAGCGAGAAAATCCGGTTTTATTTATTCAACTTTCTCAAGTAAGCTCACAAAGCAAAAATAATCGAAGCAGAAAAAATGGTCCGTGAAGTGCGTTTTACCGCGATTTTTCAAACATTTTGGTTCTTGAAAAAAATGCCCGAATGGAACAACTGACCAAGCGAAGGAATCCTCGCCTGTTCTCCTCAATTTGACGGGAATAGTTGTCACATTTCACTCCAGCAGGTGCTCTAGCTCAGCACTCCAAAACGTTCGCGTCAATCACGTTGAGCTGGTAAATTCCAGTAAACGCGGTCACAACGCTCGAGTGACCACTTTTATTTCGGTCAGATTAATTTTCGCACATTTCTTTTGCGGCCGGAAGAAAATTGATGATACAACAAAATTTGAAAATTCCAAAAATTCAAAAATCAATTAAAATCCTTAGATCTGGGTTCAGCAACCTGTGTTGAAAACCTGAGTCAGGGACTGAAGAATGTTTAATGAAAATCCCTGACTCAGGTTTTCAACACAGGCTGCCGAGCCCTGCTTCGGAGAAAAGTGCTGATATAAAGTCTAAACGTGATAAACTCGGTGGGTGACTTTTTGATCCGCGGATTTGTCAAATTTAAAAGAAATGCCGATGCTCTTGTAAACATGAAACTTTTAACGACTTGAGAAGTTACTGGATTTATCTATTTGAACCATTCGCAAGCTAAGTGACTCAAACATTGTTCAGCAGCATTGGCATATTTGAAATTCTGCCAATTCAACTCAGCTATTTTACTTTCTTCTCTGTCTGAGTAGAACGATCTTTCTACAATCGTTCAAAAGACCCAATTACGTGAAGCACGAATTTGAAAAAAGGACCTCTTGTGACTTCCCGTGGAACGGCGATAATAATCGCTTTTTACACTGCTCCTCATCCGATTTGTTTCGCGAGAACGTTTTGGTCGGCAAGACGAAAGCGCCAACCAAGAGAAGAATTTAGCCCGGATATTGGGTCACAAGAGTTTGCATGCATACATTTACATATAGATTTTTAAATATTTCGCGGCGTGCTGGACAAATTGGAAAACACAGAAAACATGATTTTAGATGAAAGTTACTCAAACGCGCATATCTTCTCTTCAGACCTGGGGTCCTGGGGAAAAACCTGAGTCAGGCTCCTAAGACCCTTAGGCTAAGGTAGCCTGTGTAGAAAACCTGAGTCAGGGTTTGAGAAAACCTTCAATAAAAAGCCGCGTTGCGGCTTTTACACAAAAAAAAGCCGCAATGAAGCCCTTTCAAGTCCTGACTCAGGTTTTCTACGCAGCTTGCCGAGCACAGTTCCGAAGAGATGGAAAATCAGCAAGAAATAGAAGAAGCAGTCAAACAAGCTGAGTAATTACCGAATTTCAGATTCGCTTCTTCCGAGAAGTTATGAACAAAAAGCGATTTTTAATCGCCAAAAAACTAACGAGGCGGTTATGGACGTGAGCGGGTTAAAAACATAATCGCCTACCGGACGGGTTTCGCGATGGGCTCTCTAACGGGAGCGAGGTGATTTTCGAAAGGAGCTAATTTGGAAAGAAGGGAAAAGAAAGTACTAAGTAACTTTTTAAAAACACTTTCTAAAAGATAACAAAAACGAGAAAAACTATTGTTTCTTCTCAAAAATAAAACTCAGGCAAATTTTTTTTTGAAATTTTTCTTGGTTCTTTGAATCAGTTATGGAATGGCGTTAGGTCGCTTAGTTTTGCTTAGAGTCCGAAAAACAAGCTTGTAGAATGCCCCGCTGACATTATCCAATTTGCCCAAAATTGGCGGCTTTTAAAATTTTCGACAACTCTGACTTTCAAGAGAGTATCGACTATTCAGCTATTAAGTTCATACATCAGAAGTACATTTTTATACTCGAATCATAAATCGCTTTCGCCACGGCGGTAGATAGAGAAATAAATCCATTTACCCGTAAAAACATTCCAAAGCTAACAAGTTTTCAATTTTTCTTCTAAAAGTTACGCGTTCTAAAACGCACAGAGTAAATACGATTGAAATCGATAAATGGAATTAGCGGTGTGAGAATTGAAGTTGAGCTGTATCAAAAGAACGGTGGTATTTTTGTATTTTCGCGCGATGAGAGCACTAATTCAGCAATCAAAATATTTCATAGAACGCGAGGTAACAACCGTTATTTCTCTCGATAAGTAGAATTGATGCTTGAAATCGAGAAGCCGCTTGCGGCTTCGAGTAATAAAGAACTTGAGCCACGCGAAGCGCGGCTTTTTCTTCTTATTTTACTCGAAGCCGCAAGCGGCTTCTCGATTTTCAGCAGCAAATCTATCAAGAATCGGACTTCAAGCGAAAATAAATTAATCACAGATTAAGGGTATCAACAGCATACTGGCAACTAATGAAAAGTGAATGGCTTTTCAAGTGAAAGTGCTGATAATGAGTAAATACATGTGTAAGGCCGTTTGTAGCCAGTTGAGGAACGCAATAGTTACTCCGGAAAGGTTTTACACAGGCTACGGGATGGCTAGATAAGGGCTTAGCCTTTTTAGGACATGACGTCCGCCCGCGGGGGAACAAGTCAAAGGGTCCTACTATCAGGAAAAGTGGAAGGCGATCAGTTTGTACACAGCAGTGCGGCCGGAAGGGATGAAAAGGGAGCAGCAACAGAGGGTGGCTAGGGCTAGAGCCACGAGTAGGTTTAGAAAACATTCGAGTGGCCTTGGGATCAATTCGTCGAGCACCATGAAATCGAATTTCAAGATCGCTCAAGCCCTTATTTAGAACCTAAGCCAATAGGACGGCGATTTGCAGTCCTCAAGAACGGTCCACGCCACGCTTGGAAAAGTGCTTAGCATCAGTTCCATTTCAAGAGTTCATCAAATCAGCCAAAAGCCGATTTTAATGGGCGCGGGGTGAGAAAACCGCGCATTGGATTTACGGCGCGATACACCCTTAATTCCTCTTTTGAGGATTGAGAAACGTGAACCGGTTGGTCTGAGAACAATTAACGAGGGATTCAAATACTGAATTCATAAATAATATTCAACCAATAACACATTCATCATCAGAAATTCGAACACGTGATTCGAAAACGCACGAAATTTAACCCACCCTGGCAGCTGGAAAAGTTAGCATATGGATGTTTTGAATTAAGAATCAATCTTCATCAAAGACCAGCTAGGGTTCGTGAAAATTATAGCGAACTCACGCGAAAAACACGAAAATTGTCAACAAAGCGAAAAATTAAAAAATGGCGAATCAGATCACCCGATTTGAAAAATCAGCCAATAAGAACGAATCTATCTACGCCTACGTAATAAGTAACAACCGGTAATAAATTTAATTAATAAAATAAAATTAAAAGAAAAGTTTGAAAATCAGAACGAAAAATAAGCAATTTAATAATTTAATTAAAAAATAATAAAATTAATACTGTACCTCAACAGATGTCTGTTGTAAGGCCAAGAAGAAAGCTCCGAGTTTCATTCTTTTTGATTGAATCTCTCTTTATGTAAATTCTGTTTCTTCTGTTCTTTTGCGTTCTTTTCCTCTGATAATCTCTATTTCAAAAAAATTGTCAAAAAAAAGAAAAAGGCAAAGAGTCTCCCGCAAAGCGTTAAACGGGGATTCAAAGTTTCTCTTAGTTCTTCGCTGGGAAGCACCTCTCTCGGGTCACGACGCGCAGCGAGCGGTCAAGCAACGGGCTACAGCTCACCAGCGCCACCTGAGCGGCAAGCAAAAGGTAAACGCCTAGGTGGCGCTGCGCTTGTTTTTGAGCGTAACCTTTATTTTGAGAAATCCAAGTCGAAGGTTAACTTCTTTCGAAATTTTCGCTCTAATAAGACAAATCGAATCCATTCAAATCTTCTACAGATAATTACAGTAATCGCTAGGTCTCCGACATGTAAAAACGAACAGAAAGAAAATTGATTTCTTCTGTAGTGAAATTCCGGTTGAAAATTCGAATCCCCGATTAGTTATTGATGGCTCAATAATCAATCAAAACTCAGTACAAGTAAGAAGTAGGATTTTGTCAAAACTGTTCATTGTCCTTCGTAAGACAAGAACACGTTTGATAGGACAAGCTCACCGGTAGAAAATCTGATCATTATCTATCCGTAGTACCGCGGCGAATGATGAAATAATCGAGGACCAGGGAGAGGGTATGAGCGAGAAAATGCGGTTAACG